GCACCTCCACCGTTTCAGAGCACACAATGTACATAGTTCAAATCCTACCTGGTTTTTCCTCCATGTGAATCCCTGCAGGAGCACTGCTCCTGTGCTGCCTGGTGACATCCCTGACAAAATGGAAAAGCCACAGATAGACTCCACCTGATGCCCCCCTTATTTTCCCTTGTAATACAGCGGCACAGCATGACAGTTGACTCAAATGAGTCATCAAAAAGAGTTTTGGCTTTTTCAGTAGGATCCCCGGCATCTGAAGCATTACGTGCCCAACCAGGGGTTCCTGTGAGCAGGTGCTGCAGCTTAAAATGTGTTAATCAATGTAGGCTTGCAGAAGCGAGGAGCTACATCAAAAGACAAATGTTTAATAATGAACCCAAAAAGGTTGTTCGAAGGGCATGAGCGCAGCTACATGATGGAAAGAAAAATGGCTCATCCCTGCCCCTGCCAGTGTCTCTTGACATTACCAATGTTCTCAAAATCTATTTATGTAGCTCCTTTTCTAGCTCTACTCACTGATTAAACACACTGCTGCTCATCTGAATTGCAGCTTTTGTTTGCTGAGGTTTGCCAGCATTTGTTATAAGGCTTACAGCAAAGGGATGAGCTGGAGGGGACACGACAGGAGTATCTCTGTGAAAGCAGGAAAGTTAAAGTCACAAGTTTGTGCTGTTACCTCTGACATGCAGGTTTTTAAAGTGTTTTTGTTGGTTCACTGACGAGCTTTTCCTTCCTACCTCAGCCCCTGGCTATTTAGTGTTGGGCATATTAGCAAAGCAAGATGATCCTGTCTGAGTGGTTCATTCTTTTGCCTTGATGGTAGATTTCTACACTCATAAGGGAATTAGAATTATTTCAGTAGTAAAAAAGATAGTGGTTTTTTTCCACACGATTAATTCCAATCATTTGAGGCTGACCTCTGCCTTTTACCTGTCTTACCATAAGTTTCTCTTATTTCTGCTGACAGCATTTTTCTGCCCAAGATAGCTATCTTTCTTTATCTCCCCCTTCCCCCCCTCCCCCCGTTTGATGTGTGAGCACTGTCTGAGACTCTCAATAATTTCCTGGATTTTTTTCACCTGGTTGTACCTTATCTGTTATGTGCCATAGAATAAGAGAGGTGTCCTTTGGGTAGGGACCATGGAACATTTTGTGTAGGGGGTTTAAACAGTGCCTAACCACTGACAGCTCAGACAATGGCAGTGCTAACACTGAACAGCACCAGTGACCAGAGTCCTCCTCACCACAGACCTTTTCTCTGCCCAATAAAATAGAAAATAAAAAATTAAAGTCTCTCTACTACAGTGTTTCCTATCAGAAGTAACTTCTCATACAGTTATAGAGCTATAAAGGTACTTTATTGTCTGTGTAGTGAAACTCATGCATTTTTGAACAAGAACGCTAACGAAAAAAATCTCACTCTGTCATGAGAGTTGTAAAGTGCTTTCCCACAATGCATATACATGATAAGCTAAGAGGAAGAGCTGTCATCCATCAAATTAGACAGCAATGTGGAAAAGTTATCATTCAGTGTGGTATCCACAGTGGTCTCTAAAACATTCTCTTTATTTCTATGTGAAAAACGGTTCCTTTGGGCCCTTTGAATTCCCACGAAAGGCTCTGAGAGATTTTTTTTCCATATTGTAGACAATATTCATTTCACTCATTTAATCCCCTGTAGCACAGAGCAGCAGCTTTCGGAGTTGTCAATACTTTCCTGTGTCCTTCAGTGACTCTCAAATCCACCGTTTTGGCAGTTTCATTATTTGAGCTGGCTCTTCATGTGATGTGTGACTCTATTTTAATTATTTTTTAGTGTTTTTTTTTTTTTTTTTACTTAAAAAAAACCGTGTAACTGATAGGCTGGAGGAAAGTATAGTTTTCTCCCAAAATCACAGGGGTATCCATGCTGTAAGAAAAAGCGACTGCCATCTACTGGGTTCCCTGTGCCATGGGACCACAAAAGCTACCCCTGCGGTTTCTGAACGCAGAAACGTTGGGAAGCATTTCACTTGAGCTCCCAGACCCTACTTCATTACCTTTATTAGCTTGGAGGGGACTCACTCTGCCCATGAGATAAAGCGTTTAATGCTTTTAAACGGCTCTTTGGGACTCATGGGATCCCCTCTGCTGCCAGTGCTTCCATTTCAATCAGTGATATCTCACCCCTTTGCACAGCCCCAGCTTGTTGCAACCCTTTCTGCCTTTCTCTCCTTCTGGTGCAGCCACAGTTTCCCCCTAAAAGCCTCCTAGCCTCATTTTCCAGTACTGAAGAAAGGGAAATAGCATTTAATGGGATCTTTGAAAAGGCAATGCACCATTCAGGCCTCTGAAATTCAATATACCACATCACCACACCACAATACTTTGAAGTATTCTGCCTTGAAGCTTTTGTCTCAAACTCTGTTCTTTTCTGTGCCTATGCCACTAAGCAAAGCATTAGTGTAATCTTTAACTTGGTGTCAGTGCCCATTCCCAGAGAAGGGAGAAAGTTAAATGGCTCTGTAATGTCTCTGATGAGATCTAAGATCAATTTCTGACATTTTGATAAAGAGGGGGCTGGCAGAGTCACTGCGTATTTCATTAATATCTGACGGAGCCAACATAATGAAAAACTGTACTGCTTGCTGTAAGCAAATAACAGATCAAAACTCATTCATGCTCTTATCTTTCTTAATGTGATCTTATTTTTTTCCCTCATTTTTGTAACAATCAAAGATAGGTGAACACCATCAAGGCTCTATGGAATGCTGCCAATCTTTATTGCCTTGTAAAAAATAAATTGTTCCAATGAACTGGGTTTTATGGCAATTCCTCCTCAATTTTCCTATAGTTGCTATTTTCATTGTAGCTGTTCCCAGACAGAGTGAAACAATGAACAGATTAAAATGTCTGATGAATTCTCTGAAACGCCAACCAGCAAAAGTCTTTGACTGTCTCATTGCCAAGGACAACTGAATTTCTTTGTCTGAATCAATTCTTATAATGTGGTGAACAATTACAAGAGCAGGAGGATGCCTGGCTGTTGCTTTGGCCCTTCATCTCAAAAGTCTGCACATCTACCAATGTAATTTTCCTTTCCACGAGTTGCTACAATTGCTGTTGAATTCATATCTGAAAATAAAATTTACAAAGGGAATCAATTCTCTGTCTAGCTTCCTTCCACATCATCTTTCTGTCCATTTGCCAGAAAGATAATAAGCCCTTGCGGCATTAGCACAAACACAAACACTGGGCATTGGGAAATGCCTCCTTGTAATGCTGCTGTCATCACCTCAACCTTAGACTTCAAATGCTCAGGACTAGGACTGATGATTTATAGATTATCTTTTTTGAAAGCTTTCTTCTTCTAAACACAGCTTAAAAGAAAGCATATTAAAATGATAATATTTCCAGGAAAAAATTCTGAAGACAAAAGAGGTTAAAAAGCTATCAGATTTCTTCACTCTGATTTATTCGGTGGAAGGGGTAAAGTCTTATTTTCTATTTTTTAATTTTTGAGAAATGCAGGCCCCAAAGCCTGATTCATCTGAAGCGCTTTTTAAATAGCTGCTAATGTGCTGTTAAAGAGGCAAATGTGCTATTCCACAGCAACCCTAATTACTGTGCAACTGTATTTCATTCTGCACTAGCAATGAACTGATCATTTAAACTCACAGTAACGGGGTTTCATTATGCAAACGTCTAGAAAAGAGTCCATTAAATTCCTGATTTGATCATCATTTCATAGATAGTGAAGATGAAAGCACAGTTAGAATTTTCTCTACTTTCCAGTACCAATACAAGTACAGGCTGAAAACCCCACAGGTGAACCAGGGCAACAGGGCAGCTGCCAGACATGGTCCATGGCCACCCTGTCAACAGGGGACAACAGCGGCCACGAAGCCCCCAGTAGCCTCTGCTTTCCTCCTCTCTTCCTCTCTCTCTACCCCCTTCATCCTCCCCCTCACCTCCAGAAAGTTCTGCTTTTTGAAGTAGTGGAAGGTTTTACGTTTCCCTCCTAAGAACATCTATTCACCCACAAAACTCAAAAATGAAACGCTTAATTCTGCTAATGCAATCAGCTGTGTTAGCAACATGTTTATTTTTCAATCTTTCTTTTCAGTTATTTTGCCTTTTAATTATCTTTCTTTGTGATTAAAGATAGTCACATTCTAAATTCAGTCACCCTGAAGAACAATATGAAATAAAGAAGTTTAATCTTTTATTATAAAACTCTTCCGTGGGATCTGGTGGTGTCGTAATTTTACCATTAAGAAATTGCCCTTTTCAGTTGTCTGCTGTTCGCCTTTTCTTTTTCCTCTGAACAATAAACTGAAGAAGAGTCTCAGTTACGGGATACAAAACATATACTTTCTGTACCAGAGCACCAGAGCTTTTCCTTCTGCTTTTAAATTTGTCTTTTTGTCCAACCAGTAAAGAAAGAGCTGTCATTTTTTGAAAGGTAATCAGAGACAAAACATTTAAAGTAGCAAAATACCAGCCAGACCTCTCATAGTTTACAGAAGAAGGAGAACCATGGGGATGGTTCACTTCGGGTCCATGTGCAGTGAATAGAACAATGTGATACTGCTGCTGTGTTAAGCTGCTATTTCAATGGCCTGTGTCTTTACCAAGTTATCAGTGGTGTTTTTCAGCTTGACATTAAACTGCCTCTCTGTCTTCTCTGAACCTCGCCATAGACTGTCCCAGATGTAAATGCTGACCCAACAGAGGCATTTTGTCAGTGGTGGCTACTGATGGATGTTGGGTTTTGGCCTAGACACGCTCTGCCGTCTAACAAAACTTTTCTCTAGAGAAGACAAGAAGCAGAAGTGAAGCACGTTGTGTCAGTACCTGGGGATTTTGTGTGCCTGGTTTGCAGTTTTCTGTTTGTGACAACATAAGCTGTGTTGGACAACAAAGACATGCCCTGTCTTGTTCCACTGGCAAGTTTAGCAGGTTACTCACTGAAATCTCTTCAGACAGTGTTGCTGATACTTCCATTTCTGTTTCTCTTACAGTTTGTTGCTCACCCCAACTGCCAGCAGCAATTGCTCACCATGTGGTATGAAAACCTCTCAGGCTTACGGCAGCAATCTATAGCTGTGAAGTTCTTGGCTGTCTTTGGGGTCTCCATTGGCCTGCCCTTCCTCGCCATAGCCTACTGGATTGCTCCCTGCAGCAAGGTACAAACTCATTAAGGTGCCTGTTTTTCATGGTCATTTCTATCCAGGGTCTGGAATGAAGTCACATGGTTTTCTATAATGCCTTTGGGAAGTGATTCATGCTGTCTTCTGTGCCCCAGAGGAGAGCAAACCTGAGCTGTTGCTTGGTATACACAAATGGAGCTATTCAACAGAGTTTGAGGTTCATCTTTACAGGTAATAATGGTGGAGGAAGAGAGTGAAACAGTGGGTGATGAGAAAAGAATAGGAAAAACAAGGAATGGATAGGAGATAACATCATGGGAGTGGGGTGAAGAAAGAATAGAAGAACCACCAAAATGGGGAACAACTAAAGGAGAAAAGCTTTGTTGCCCTGAAAAGCAACTCCGATGTTTAAACTCTTATTCCTTTTAAGTACTTTTTGTTGCAGGTTCCTCCCCTCTTCAGGGCTCCTTTCTCCCCTCTTCTTCTTCTTTTTAATCTCGTATTTTTTTGTTAGAGGGACATTTTTATGGCACATGTGCCTGAAACTCTGGCAAGTCACAGGGGACTGCTTAGCACTGCAGAGAAGACTAGACTCAATCACACAATCTTTATGATTTTGAGGGAAAAGTTGACGAAACTTGGAAAACTGCCGTGTACCTAAATGTGGCTGTGGTATGTCTCACAGCATCAGATGGAGCAGGAGAGTTTTGCCAAGACCTAGAGGTCAAAGAACCAGAGCCAACCATTGGCTTAGGTAAAAGCTTGAGCTGTCTGTGCTATGAAATCTGGAGTGAGATTTTAATCCTGAAAGAGTCTGCTCAAGTAAGTGGAGATAAATAGGTGTGTGGCTGAGTTATAAATAGCTATTTCACTACTCTTGCCACAGAAGAAAGAAGTGGCAGGGAAGAAGATCATTTCACATTCAGCAATAGCCAGCAGCATCATCCATTACGAGGTAGAGGTCTTCAGCAAGAGGCTTATCAGAGGTACTTAAATTTGATCAAAATTACCCCTGGCTCTGGTAATTTATTCAGTCTTGAAAGCACCTCCTCCCATTTCCTTTAAAAGCCAGTGAGGAATCCTTTCTAAATTTGTCAAGCTCAAGAAATTATAGATCCATGGATGCGTAATAAGGAAAGACTCCAATTTGAAAAGATTTATGTAGGTGCAATCAGACAAACCCTTTGAAAACAGTCTTCCAGAACATCTGAGATAATAAAACACAATTGATGCTTGGTGTCCTCCAAAATATTTCCAAGAAAAGTACTTTCTCTTAGAGTAATTGAGAATGTAACTTCATTTTTTTTAAAGTTTGTATTAACACAAAACCCCACAGCTTTTATGAATATTGGACAGGACTCTGGAGTTTCACACAGAGAAGTGCATGTGAAAGCCAGGCTGTGTTGCGGGTGGTTTTGGTTAAATCGTAGAGGGACTTTGTGTGTGGAATTACCATGTTGAATCCATAATGTCAGAACTCAGTCTAGCCAGGATTTATGAAGCTGTTTAATTTCCTTCACCTCTGTTGAATCTGTGCTGGGAGTTGGCACACCAGCCAATAGCAACACTTGCAGTGTATCCTCAGAATTACAGAGGTGGTATTTGAATTTAGCAGTAGGTGGGGAGAACAATTGGACTAGAAATAAGTAGAGAATTTAGATGAAAAGCATAAAAAATAAGGGGAAAGAAACAGGCAAAAATTTCAAAATAAATCAGTTTTACAGCAGAAGTAAGAAATTATTGAGAAAGTTACTTGGTTTTAATTTCTTGAGGTAGGTGTATTAAAAAAAAAATAGAGAAATCTTAACTTTTCCTCAATTGTGATTTCATTACACTAAACCTTTTGTGCATTCTCATTTTTTAATGTCCCCTTCTTTTCACCCCACTTTAGACTGTGAAAAACCATACTAAGCCTTCTATCATGAAGTCAAATTGAAAGTTCTTTCAGGCAGGAATTGTTTTTTAATGCATGGGTTTGCATTGATCAGAACAATGTACTCTTGATTTTTGATTGGGGCCTGTGATAGAAATAACTGAATAATGAATGCATTTTTCCCCCACAAATTGGTACCTCACCCAAAATTGTCATTGTTTGCTTCAAGGGCTGAGGGTTGATGCATGAGTCTTGTATCTTCTCAGAGTGTTATTGCAGACTATTTTACAGAGGCAGTACTGAAAGGACAGTGATGTTAAGAGAAGAGTTGCGTGGGATGTTCTGGGCAGCCCAATTTTGTTTTGGTCAATTTTACAAGTGTTTTGTTTGCTTTTGAGTCATGGAAACAATCTTGATGTTACACAACTTGGTAATGAAATAATTTTTCCATATTAACAATCATCTAAGATATTTAACGTAAATCAAATCAGGCCTGACTTTAAAAAGCACACGGATGGCCAGTCATGACTCAGGGCTTGTTTCTGGGCTAAGACAGCGAGAAAAATGAAAAATTCTGTAATTTGGAATACTGCTTATAGGAACTGTCCTCGCCATTACTATTGTGTGTCATGTTCTTAAGATGTATTGGTCAAATTCTGCAGTTTCACATAGGGTAGTAGAGTAATTCATGTCTCAAAATAATTCCTTCACTGATGTATGGAGGAGGAATATGTTTTTAAGCCTTTACTCCATATCAGAAATTTTTTCTTTAATAAAGCTCTGTGGAGTTAGAATACACCATACCAAATACCACCTTTGAAAAATTAGTAAATAGTATTAACTGGAGTTTGCAACTGAACTCTTAAGTCTTCTGTTGCGTTCAGTTGCACAAAGCTGTCTTTATTAAAACCAATTTTAGTGTAGGTCGTTCATTCACCTCTGGATGCACAAACTGTTGACAAGACCAGCAGAGTGTAAGCCCATCCTATCCTGGAATATTTGTGTTGACTCATCCATCTCATAGAGACCGTGACTCTGAAATGAAATGTTGCTTTATGTGTTGGTGCCCAAAACTTGTTTCACTGGTGATCAGAAGAGAAGATAAGAGGTAGAATGGAAAAATTGCACAGTCTGCTGCCCCAAAATATAATGACAAGAGCAAGCAGGACTGTTTGGACTGTCTGTAGGACTTCAAGGAGTAGCCACGCTGGGGATTTATGGACCGTAGCTCCCGCTGGGACAGAGCCAGCAGCATTTAAGCATTGGAACTTTAATGGTTCACTCCACCTAAATCTGTACCTCCACATTTTTACTCTGGGCATTTTCATCCGTAATGAAGCTACATACAATTTCTGCAACAACATTTTTCATGCTTCTACTGTGAACATAGTACTGAAAACAGTCATGGCTTTTTCTTTATGATGTTTCTATCTGTATTTGTTCCCGTCTTTTGGAGCTGAGATTAATTCCCATTTAAAAAATGAACCTTTGTATTCACACACTGTTTCTGCCTTAACAGTGACAGTCAGGCACTTCCCTGCAAGCCTGGTTTGATGAAAGATGATATTTTGGTTTTAAAAAAGTAACTGAGAAATTGGTACATCCCAGTAGTTACGCACTTTGAGTTTAACTATATCATCTTGCTTGAAAAATATATCTTATTGTCATAAAGCATTAGGCTGACTGGAAAAATTGACACTTCATTAATATTTTACAGAATATTCGAGTCAACACTTTCACCTCCTGTAGCTTTTAGCTAAAAATCAGATTTCTGAGAAGATATGAAAAGCAGCAGCTCAAGAAAAAAATTGTAAATTTTCTACAGTAATAAAAGGAATAAAAGGCTGATGTAACACTGACTAAATGCAGACTTCTGTTAAATCAGTAGAGAACTAAGTGAAATTACCCAGAGAATTCATTTGGTTCTGTGATACATGGGATTAATTCTCTGATAAATGAGACTGTACTGTTTTAATCTCAGGTCTCTGTTTTGTTTTGGTAATTTTTTTTTAAAGTTTCTATAGAGAGCAGAAAATTTTGGAGAGAAAAATATAAATTGAGAGAATTCATGGTTCAATAGAAAGTGGTTTTTCTGTTTTAGTGAATTCAGGATAGAAATTAGCCTTGTACAGACTGCAAATGCACTTTTTAAAAACTTTGTTGGTAAGGTCCCATACACCCATAGTTGTTGTTATGCTTTAGTCACACTCTTTGAGCTCTCTCAGACAGATCATATGAGGAAAAATTCTGAGATGATTGCTGTATGGGACGTTGTTCAAACATATCCCATCATCCCATCAGCTCTGTACTGGAAATATAAGTTCTGCTACAAAATGTAAATCTACCACCAGCCATAAAAAGCTGTTGAGAAGTAACACTACACCAAGGTTTACAGCAGAGGAGGGAAGTGGCATCACAAGGGTTGTGACTGGTTTTAACACACTTCATTTACTCCTACATCTGCCATAATATTCCTAGGCAAGATTAAGGAAACTTGTGTTTTGAACCAGTGCAATATCTACCCACTTAAACACATCCTACTGACCTGAGAAATAAGCAATGTTAATAAGGGCTCGGGGATAGAGCAGATTTTTTTCATTTTCTTTATTGGAAAGTCTTTCTGGTATTTAGAAACAGGCGAATTTTCCAATAGGATTTACTCTTCTGTCAACTTCATGAAAGATTTATTTGACATTTTAAAAATTCAGAGAAGAAATAAGAACAAGAATCATAAAACTTCCTTTACATTTCTGCTACACCTAGAGAACCCTGCTTTTAAAATATTTCCTGCCCTGAAATAACCAGAGACCTGGGCTCCTTTGAACAAAGCTGCTATTGGAGATAAGTAAGAAAACAGAGAATTTCATTCAGTCCTTTTTCAGAATTCTTATTAAGCCAGTAGATATTAAGAAAATTTTGAGGCTACCTTATCATCAAGGGAAGTTAATAAGTGAGTAATATACTGCCAAAAAAATCCCATTTGTTTCAGGGGGTTTTGGAAAGGGCACATAGAGGACAACACTTCCATTCCTGTCTGTTTTGTCCAACGCCACAGGCATTGGTCCTTGCACTCCTAAAAATGCTTCTACTCTACCGTCTTTCTGGAGTAATGTTTTCTTAGATCACATAAAATGTAAGATGAAAAGAGTGTTATTTGAATTAATTAGCAAACAATGCTTTTCAAGGAGAATGGAACAAATATTAGCTATAGTGATCTGCTGCCCTGAGTCTTAATGTGTTGAAATTAATCCTTGTATTCTGGGGTTGAATCTCTGGCTTTCGTAGTAATTATGAGAGAAGACTATCATATCAAAGCATATTAAAAACATTGCCAAAGAATCTTTAAACAGAAGGCTATTTCCTACACATTGTTAATGAACCAAGAATTCAGCATTAATAGAAGATTCCAATATATAACAATGATATGAGGATGAGAAGTGGGTCCATCTTTAGGATTTATATTGACAAACATGAGTACACTCATATAACACACATACACACAAACATGTCTCAGATAAATGTCCTGTCTCTTCATTTTCCACTTACCATATGGCCAGGACAATTAGATATTGTATGTGAGTATAAAGGATATAATATACTTCCATGCATAGAAAATTATCCAAAGGCCATAATTGGAACTACAATGCATAATGTCTAGTAATAGCAAAGAGGATCTTGAACAAATGTAAACCCCATTTAGTTCATGATTCAGAATTAATTTCTGAATCCTTTTCACCTTGGGCAAATGGTTCAAACTTTTACAGGAAAAAACTTATACAGGGAAAAGGTGAATGAGGGGAAAAAAAATAATCTTATGTCTTGTGTATGTTTCATTGCAGTTGGGACGGACCCTCCGAAGTCCCTTCATGAAGTTTGTGGCACATGCAGTTTCTTTCACAATCTTCCTTGGGCTGCTAGTAGTGAATGCTTCAGATCGGTTTGAAGGAGTGAAAAATCTCCCCAATGAGACCATCACGGATCATCCAAAACAAATATTTAGAGTCAAAACAACTCAGTTCTCATGGACAGAATTACTGATCATGAAGTGGGTATTGGGTAAGCAAAACCAAAATGTCTACAAGTCCCTCAGAGAAATTCAGCACGACTAGAAATAGCGTGATAGACAGTGACAAGAGAAAGGAAAAGAAAACCAAACCCATAAACAAAAGAGAAAGCAAACGACCATGAGGCTAAATAAGAGGTTGATGGAAGTGTTTTGATTAAAACAGGATCAAAGAAGACTTTGATCTTGGTCACTGCTTTTGAAAGTATTGAATGATGCTTACAAAATTCTCACTTTCCTGATTTTCCACTTCCCATGGTGAATGCTATAGATGTTGTCTGTTTGCCTCTGTTGTTTTAATCATTGCATCTTAAAGAAGGTAATAATAGTCATAGAAACTTATAGCTTCACTATCGGACATTGCCTGTTTTATTATCCTGCCATGAGAAGTTATTAGAATTCACTGAACCTCAGCTTCTTCATTTGCAAAATAGGTATATTGTTATTTATTTTTTTGTAATGCACTCTGAGATCTAGCGATGAAAACTGCTCGGTAAAGAAGAGCTGGGTATTATGAAATGCATAGTCTGAAATTGTTGCTGGTGAGAGGACAGCACAGTGCTCCAATCTTCTAAAAGAAATTAAGTTATACAATAATTATGAAGTAGGGATTCACGTGGATGAACCCTTCAAGTGCAAAAGTATGCCATGTGCACAAGTTAAACTTCTAGGGAGTTTTTGGCAAATTCAGGTGTATTACTTTTCCTGTAGGCCTGATTTATTCCTGGCAGGTCAGCTACATTGAGCCACTAATCTAAACAAGCTCAGAAGGTTTTATTTAGAAATTGAGCTTATCAACTCTGCAGAATCTTTGTCTACCTCTTCTCTTTCTATTTTTACTCATCACCGTGATTTTGATTCTTTTCTTGCAGCAAATAATTCCATGGTTGTGTAAGTACTGATGGCTTTAAACTCCCCTGAAAAATAGGATAGGGCTGCTCTATCTGATGACTTCCTGGCCACCATTTCTTTGTTCCCCGTCCCCGCAATAATCAGAATCCCATACAGGATATTAGGATAGAAAAAAATGAATAGATGCCAGACTGGATAGAGTCTGTAAGATATATTTTTAAAATGATATTAAAGCAGTTGGACAAGATGATTAGATTTTAGACTAGGTATTCTTTTCTCATAGGCAGTAGGTATCTGTCTGCCTGGTGAGTTCCTGAGAGATGAAGAAAACATTTCATTTAGAGAGAAGGTTTTCACTTTTCTGGGAGAAGAAAGGTGATTCATTGTAGAGAGTTCTGAATATAATGAGATTTTCTAATGACCGCCTACATCAGCACTGACAGTCTTCTCTGGCCATTTTACCTGTCTGCCTACATAAAGCTTCATATAATAACGCAGCAACACTAAGGTGAACGTTTGGTGCACGTGGCCTGCAGACAGTTGGCACAGGGACTTGGGCACATGCTGAGCCCCGTATGTGACCCTGAACTTTAAGGACTGTAAAAGCACTAACGGTGGATGACTGCTCAGCCTTTTTGCACAGAAATCTTATAGGTATTATAAGTATGTATATGTAAGTGTAAATGTAATTAAAACAAGTAAATTATAGATAAATACCACTGGTAAAGTTGCCAAGATGCTTTTCCAAAGAGGCAAATGTAAGTAGACAGTAAGTATACGCTGAAGTGTAATAAACTTAACTCTTGTACACTAAATATACATAGCTGTATTTAATCCTGCTTGGCAACACTTGCAATTGCTGTCTGCAGACTCAACAGTGTAGGTGTGCTACCTACATTTCGATTCATAGTACAATCAAAAAGTGTAACTTTATTTATTCTCAGCTTGTAAATCCCTTCCTTCTGTTTCTGTTCCTTCCTTTTTCTCCTTCCTACTGTGGCAGCATTGATGAATGCTGATGACACACTGCTTGTTCCAACCAGAGCAGACTATTTTTGAGAAATTAGTTTACAGGTCCCTGATCTTGGTTCTTTTTTGGGGAGAAAATTGGCTGTCTGAGTTATCTGGCTGCCAACCATAAAATTATGACGCATGTTCAGAATAGCCTTATTCGAGGATAATGTGATACATTAGCATAGCATAGTGCGGCCGCGAGTGAGCACAACCTGTAATAGCACTCCCTGCAATTAATCTTGCTGGAGATAGGAAAATTGACCCACGTGTGTATATTTTAAGAGCAAACTACCAGTAGAAGAATTTCAGACTGGGGTTATGCAAAAAGATGCCATTGCCATCTTCTGCTCCCAACTGTTTGTAATGCAGGCGAACAATGGACTAAACCAAGCAAAGGCAAGTATTTGTTAAGCTCTGTGTAGACTCAGTCTGAGCACAACTCTGTTTCTTAATCCAACAGCCTTTGGCAGATCCAGGAAGGCTCAAAGGCAGCTCTCCAACATCAGCTGCTCGTGATTTATGTACCAGGCCAGTGGATATGAAAATCTGACAAACTGTTCCTTTTTGTGCACAGGTGGTGAACAGCACTTCTTGCACACTTCCATTTTTCTTCCAGATGGGTTATGCCTATAGCTTGACTGTCCTTCCCCTGCTGAAACCAGAAATGACCTCAAGGTGACATTTCTGATTATCCCTCCTGTGGGAGAATAGGTACAAGAGACCTGCAGAAGCTGTTCATATCCCATCTCTCTGTGCATCGAACTCAGGGAGATGACCTCTGCCAAACCCATCGGGGGCCTCAGAAACACCACATTAAAATGCAATCACATCCTGGCAAATCTGCTTTGCCTTGTTGCCTTCCCTTATTTCTGTTCTTACATTCCCGTCCCCTGAATTTTAGCTGCTTTTTCTCTTCTCAGTATTTTCTCTTAAGGAGAAGCTTTGAATTACTCCCTCACAATGTATATCCAGTTACTCAGTAGTACTGACCGAATAATTACTGCAACTTTTCTACTTGTCCTGGATGGACATTTTTCCATATGTATGGATGAAAAATGATTGCCACTCAGCTGGCAAAAAGAATGATGTAAATTATAGGCCAATACTGTGATACTTTCACAGAGTGATTCTAATTTTAGTCAGTCTGCTCAGTTTTAGACGTTCCTTACTTCATTAATCTGTGACTTAGGTATATTAAGTAACCAAGATTAGAAATAAATTTGGATGGGAGAGTTAATATTTAAACCAGAAAAGACATTTCTGGGTGTCAGTGAACAAGTACTCTGGTTGGCAGTGTTACCATGCCTGTGATATTTCCTGAAGTGCTTTAGTACCTTTATATGACATGCACGCATAACGCGTAGGGCTAATGTCCCCTATCTATCACTTCTGGGATACCTGTTTTTTTTTAGCTAGAAATGGTTCTTTAATATTTCATCCTTGCACTGGGACAGTTCCTGAGAAACCAATTCTTCCACCTTCTCCATTAGACAATTTATTATTAAATCTTATTCATGGTGAATGATGGCTTGGGATGAAGTTCCTGCTTTCATTCAGCCAAGCACCTGTGGACTTGAGGAGAAGAGCTGGAAGTCTCCTCTCCTGCGCTCCTCTGGCTCTGCTCAGCACGTAGCAGACCTCAGACTCTCTCCCAGGACAGATCTATATGGGGCATAACCTATATTAAATACAGCTCCAAGGATCTGCATGGACATTCCAGAGCCATGGAGGTCATAGGCTAGCTGTACCTTGGCCATCAATAGCTTAGCTTTCCTTTTTCTCTCAAATCTTTCCCCATGCACAAGGACTGACTGTGGCAGTTCTTCACACTCCAGCCTCCGGCAAGATTTCACGCTGACTTGTTTCCTTCCCTATAACCAAGCTTTCGACTGTGCCTCTTGGGACACCATGTGCTTCCAGGAGTCTCTGAAGTAGCTGAGCAAATGCATTGACATGCCACACCACGAGAGCTTCCAGTAAAGAGGATGAAGAAGAGTTCACAAAAAGGACAAGGTTGCAGGAGGCCACATGGAAATTGGCAGGCACGGCTCCTGCTTGATTAGACATGCATTTTGCTGCTCCTATGGAAACAGAATTCGGTAGAGTACAAGAAACATTTAAATATTCCAATAGTTTAACTATTCAGAAGCAAGATTCTGGGTCCGCACCCCTGCTGTGATTGAAAGTTGGGCAAGTTGAGGGATTTGAACTGAGCTTTTGGCTTCAGTTTGCCCATTGAGCTCAACTGCCCTCCCCAGCTCTCCCAGTAGGACAGGGATGTCAAAATGTTTGATTTTTCTGGGTTTGACATTTAGGCTTATTTGTGAGTCTGTTGTCAGAGGAATCATAAATTCAGGCTAAACTCAAGGTTTTCAAAGTGGTAGATCAGACTTTAATGTATGGGAATTCATTATTATTTAATATAGAAAACTTTATAAGAAGTACTGCAAGGGCAGAACTTCTGTCTTACCTTTTTTCTGATCATACTGTGTTTACTCCTGGATCAGGTTTTCTCTCATGAAGATCTGTTTCCGTTCTCAAAACAGACCCATCCACTGTTTTTAGGAAGGAGGAAAACCAGTAGAGTGATAATACCATCTGCAGCAGCACTGTTCGGCAATGAGATTTTGGGGACGAGAGGAAATCTACATTTTTTCCAAATAGATTAGCAGCAGGATTTTCTAATGTCTTCAGTATTTCTGAACCATGTTTTCTATGACATCACCAGAAATCTACCTTATGATTGAATTATATCGTGAAATTTTGAAATTTATACCTCATATGAACAAAAGGACATATAAGCTTAAAGTTTTTAATAATTTTTAAGAAAAGATGGCACAAAAAATTCTCAAGAAATTCAGTTTAATTGAAGAGTTATTTGCTTTGGTCTTAGAAGCCACTGATAGCTAGGAAATAGTTCTGTCTGAATACAAAAAGCACCTTCTCTGGTCACCAGTTAAATATTCTCTGGCCTTTCCACAGGCATGATATGGTCAGAATGCAAGGAGATCTGGGAAGAGGGTCCACGCGAATACGTGCTGCATCTCTGGAATCTGCTGGACTTTGGGATGCTGTCCATCTTTGTGGCATCATTCACCGCCAGGTTCATGGCTTTTCTCAAGGCAACCGAAGCACAACAGTATGTAGATCAGTACGTTCAAGATGATAACCTCAATAATGTCACCCTTCCCCCTGAAGTCGCTTACTTTACTTATGGTAAGATGCTTTTTGCTATCTAATGCTTCCTGTTCTTTTAAGCTAATGTGTGCAGTGCTGAAAGCAGCTCTTTTTTTTTTTTTTTTTGTACATGATATGGTCAGAATGCAAGGAGATCTGGGAAGAGGGTCCACGCGAATACGTGCTGCATCTCTGGAATCTGCTGGACTTTGGGATGCTGTCCATCTTTGTGGCATCATTCACCGCCAGGTTCATGGCTTTTCTCAAGGCAACCGAAGCACAACAGTATGTAGATCAGTACGTTCAAGATGATAACCTCAATAATGTCACCCTTCCCCCTGAAGTCGCTTACTTTACTTATGGTAAGATGCTTTTTGCTATCTAATGCTTCCTGTTCTTTTAAGCTAATGTGTGCAGTGCTGAAAGCAGCTTTTTTTTTTTTTTTTTTATGATATTTGTGTAGTTTCTTTTGAATTAAACCAAATTATTCTTCTCAGATCTACCCATTCCAGCCATCTCCCTAAATGGTCAAAAAAGAATTGGGATCTGAGCCTCATTCAGTCTCTGATCTTGTGCTAAAGCTACATTCAGGTTAATCACATCCTGACAAAATAGCCTGAGCAACAAATAATCAGGAACTGCAAGCGAGCAGAATATAATTAAGATTACGGATGAATGAACCTGATTGGTTTTCCAAGCTTGGGAGGGGGGAGATGTGTGAACAAACATAGAATCTGGAGCTGCATTTCTAACTGTTGGTGTACTCTGCACCTCTGATACGTCCAACACCTGTATAATGGGAATGCAACCACCAATTATACCCAGAAACTGGTGCTCCTACAAGAGAAAAACTTTATTTTTGGACAGCCCGTACCATTTATAAGTGCTAACAGTTGGAAATGCAAGCAGTCGTATAGCCTTGACGTGATTTTTGTTGGCTGAAATGCTTGGGTTTTTTATATCCACAAATGAATAGAGTTTTGCACCCCAGTGTGGGGAGTGGATTCATTGCATGCATCTGCAAGCTTTACAGGTAGCCCTGAGCAAAATCCCTGGGGGCTTTTGCTCACAGAGGGGCTTCAGGACCTAGAGAGCTGGGCACAAAGGAGTGCCATTTGCTCCTGAGGGTTGTAAGGTAGTTATTCTAGCGATAAACTTGGGCTGCAGAGGAATATCTGGGACAGGAGACTTCATCCACTGTAGGTGGGTACCATATGGCACCAGAGACGTGCCCTGACCCCAAATCAGGGTGCACAGCCACAGGCTCCCTGGCGGGTCCATGAGCTGATCACACCAGCTCAGCCTCTTGCTTGGTATGTCCCCTTTGAAGATGAGCTTCTCTCTTCCTGCCCTGCCTCTGAAGTGATGTTGAGGTTTTCCTCTCTCTGGTTTGACTCATTTAAAGTGAGTTCATGACACAAGAGTGCAGAGGGTGCAAAACAGAATGTCACAACCAGATCTTGCAGATTCCTCCATCTGCTACTTTTCCTTTGGTTCAGATTACTGAAAATAATGCTAAGTTTACTGCTGTGTCCTTAAAGATGTCGCATGTTTTAGCTCTGAGTCACAACCATTTCATCAGGAAGCTCACTCGATGCAAGGACACTTATAAGCTATATTAATATAAATTTTCAAATTTTCAGTAGATTAAATAAACGATGTATATCTGGTATCAACATGAAGCTTTTTAAAGTAAAAATATTGGAGTGACTAGACTGCAAGACTTGGGTTTAATTTAACTGTAACATGAAAATGATACACTTGATGGATATATCTGCTTATCTGAACAAATATGAACTTTCTTATCTAACGGTAGGGGTATAGATCTCAGTCTTCTTAATGCTTGCCTTCCAAATATTGACACAGTGCCATGTATCCAAATCTACAGCGAAACTCCACTGTGTTGTGGGTTTGGTTCTCTATCTCAAGAGCTTCAGATGGAATAGCCACAGCACAGCTGATGTTCAACTAGAAAACTGAAAATATCAAATTTGTTAAAAGCCATGCTCTTTATTTGCTGTGTGACTTCGGTAAATCCCAGTGACTTGCTCATTTCTCAGCTTTCCCATGTGAAAAATACAACCCATTCTTCTCACCCCTACGTGTGCAGCATACTGAGGACTTCAGTGACCAGTTGTTACAATCCTTTTTTTCTTTTAACTCCTGGCTAAAACCAAGATTCAGTCTTGAAAAAGGGGTCATTTATCATCATAACTTCCACCTAACACTTTTTGTTACTAATGCCTAATGTACGTGTATTGTTTTAGCCAGGAACAAGTGGCTTCCCTCGGATCCTCAGATCATTTCAGAAGGACTGTATGCAATAGCTGTGGTACTCAGCTTCTCCCGCATTGCTTACATTCTTCCAGCCAACGAAAGCTTCGGCCCCCTGCAGATCTCTTTGGGGAGGACTGTGAAGGATATCTTCAAGTTCATGGTCATCTTCATCATGGTGTTCCTGGCCTTCATGATTGGAATGTTCAACCTTTACTCTTACTACCTGGGTGCAAAATACAACCCTGCGTTTACAACGTAAGTACCTATGGAAAAGTGGCTGCTCTCACAGGGCTCAATCCATCCTAGTCCATTGCTGCTGCCAGGGCTGCTCAGACAGCTTCTACTCCAGCTATGTGGGGAAGGAACATCCAGGTTTTGCCAAGGAAACTTGTAGCACAGCCTCCAGCCCAGGCAGCCAGCTCAAGGCCTGAGCGTAGGGAGATGTGTGGTTCAGAAATGGGTATTTCTGGAAATCAAAATAACAGATCTGAAAAAACATTTTGTGAGATGTTCAGTTTAATGAGTCAAGAGAAGCAGAGGAGAAGAGGTTAGAACTAAGATTATTGTTTTTAAAACTGCAAGCTGAAATGTATTTAAAACAAGGGAGGATTTTGCTTATGTGATGTCTGGTTTAGGGTACCACCTGAGCACAGCAGTGATTATTAGGTGCACATCTGCAGAGCCAGCTGCTACTTGTGATGCTCAAAACAACAAAACAAACCGGGATGCCTAGGCTGTGTTTCTTTAATCCTGGTTGGGTACTTTTCAGCAGAGGCCATGTGAAAGCTGCACAGAGCATCACACCAGGTTATTGACCACGCAGGGCAATGGGTCTGCCTGGGTCACACAGGGCACTTGCTGGGTGGCCACAGCCCTGTGGAGGTGGCTGTGCCAGAGGCCCTGTCTCCACCTTGTCAGGGATGTCAGGAAGAGAAAGGGGTTGGCAAACGTTTCTGGAATAAGGTTCAGACTGAGGCTGCTTTTGAAACAGTTCTTTAGAGGTAGCACAAAATGCAACCTTGATTCTCTGCAACCCCGGGAACCCAAGCCCCAGCCCTTGGCAGGGGACGCTGAGGTCTTGAAGGAGCTTTTAGAGGATGGGACATCCGGGTGCCCTGCTGTGTCTGAGGGACATATCCCATGCATCCACAGGAAAGTCTCCTTTCTTGTAGTGCAATGCAGCACCAGCATCGCACCGTGGCACTGAGCTTTGTGTCTCACAGAACCACTGTGACTTGCCTTAGGGACACAGTGGGGACTTTCCCTCCCGTATAGCCATTTGTAAGGGAAAAGGAAAGCTTGGCGTAATGTTTTCCCCTTCCTGCAATGTGACTTCCAGGCAACCGTGCCACACTCGCCATGCCTGAGCCCACGGCGTTTACCAGATGCAGAGCAGGCAGCAGCTGGCATTTGATGTGCCATTTCTCTGACGTGTCACAGGGCAAACTGAGGGCTTAGCTTGTAGCTTCTCTAGGAGAAATGACCTTTTCAGCATCCTTTCTGTCCTGTGAGTGGCTGTTTCCTTCCAAATGTACAAGAGCCAGATTTACCACACACCCCTCTTGTGTGACATACATGTTGTAACATAACGTTTACTTTCTCTAATACAGCCAAATATGCCTTCTGCACCTCTCCTTTAAGCTCGGGATGCATTTTAATGGAAAAATTTATAAGGCCAGACACAATTATATTTATCTGTACTCTGTAAGGTAGAAGAAAATTGAGTGTGTGGGATGTGCCTTGCTTCTCATTTGAAGAGAAGGAGATGCCCTTGAAGCACAAGACTTAATGAGAAGTTGAGTCAATACCATCATCGATTGCCTGGTGGCACAGTAACCCTCAGTTATGGTATCCCCCAGGCACATCACTAGAGCACAAATTCCAGTCTCTTATGCAGTGCAGTAACTCTCTCATTAACACTCATTACCTAAGTGGATCTTCCAGTATTTGCTATCTTTTGATGGCAATAATGAGCAAACATTAACTAAAATGATGACTATTCACTGGAGTCAAGACTGCTTAAATGCCCGAGGGGTGTCTGGATTGGGGAGAGCCTTGTGAAAAGGCAGTGCTCTTCCTCCTTAACTTCAGCCTGGTGGCTACTTATCCTGGCAGGACTTCATGTTGTTAGGATGCAAATTTTCCACAAGCATAATTTTTCCTTTTATTTAGAAGAGAATTTAAAAAGACTTACTTTCTTCTGATTATTTAAACACACAGGAGTGTTAAATCAGTGAAAACGAACCCTTTCATCATATGAAACAAAGAGAATAGATTAACATTCATCCCCAAAATCCTTCTCAGCCATCTCATTCAACAAGCTAAAACCCTGAGGTATAGAGTCTCAAACAATTTTAATAAGCTAATGACAAGGTTATATTGGCAGATGAGCAGCTACCATTTCTAGCAATGTTTCCTTCTCTATTTTTCGTGAGCTGCCTGTGGGCCTTGCTGAAGGTGGCAGGCCCCTGCTGCAATTAACTTATTCATGAAAAGAAGGAAAATTTCAGTACTAGAGCTGAATAAGGAACTCAGCTGTTCATTCACTGAGAATTCACTGAGGCAAAGAAGAATAATGCTTACTTTTGTGTCCTCATAAGCATTCTCTGACTTCAGAGATGTCACTGAATGCATTTCCTAGTAGTCATGTTTGTGAATTCTAATGAGGATGGGTGAAATTTTACAGGAAACAGGTTTTTTTTTTACTCAGATATGTGACTATGGGACCTGATTCTCAGAGATTACTTGGCTAGTCATGACAGAAAAAGATCCATTGGATTTGTGTGCTAATTGACTGTGGCCAGTTTCAAAGGGCATTGAATTGACAGCTCACTGGATAGCCTCAGTGAGAAACTTTAGCAAACAGCTACTCACTGAAATAACTTTAAATTACACATTTAAGAAAACCACAGCTTCCCAGGACAGTACGTAGGCAAAAGAAAGGGTGTACATTTGTCCAGATAACACCCAGAGGGAATTGCTTGCTTAGTTCTAATGATGACAATCGATGAATGTTTGGTATAACTTAGCTTCCACCTTCCCTTCCTATTGCACTTTCGAAGTTGTGTTCCATTTTGTTTGTGTTGCCATCTAACAGAGCAAGCACGTAGCATTCTAGTGGCCTCTGAACAGAGTTGTTATGCAAAGTTTCTGTCATTTCTTCCATTTTCATATTCTGGATGCAAAGGAAATAAAAATGCAGTGGTCTTTACTTCACACAGCTAAATACATAGATTATTTAGCTAACTGTGGTATACTTCCAAAATATTTTTGAAGTTCTTGATGCTGAAAAGTAGACCATTTCCACGGCAGTTGCAGCCGACCCTGGCTATGTTTATCTGTTTATTGTATGTGTGTACAGAACACAGCTCTTGAAACAGTCTGTAATTAAGAACATGCTATGCAAACAAAATCGAAATGGAGGCAAAACTGATTGCGTTCATCTTGCTTTCCGCATCACAAATCAGGCTGAAGGCTACAACAGGAGGTTTTCTGTCTCCCTCTCCCCAAAGGGAAATATGACTCACTGTTCAGTGCCAATGCTACTTCGAGGCTTGAAGGCTTTCTTTCTTCTCATTTTGCTTTGTCAAAATGTGATATTTTTGTAGATTATTTTGACTGCATTGCTTTTTTGGCAGTGTCAAACCTCAACCGATCAATTTAATGAAATAATTCAGTCTGAAAGGATGCCTTAAGCTTTCTTAAAGAGGACACAAGACTGACATGAAATCATAGCCTTGCCATGATCCTTTTTGATGAACAACACATTGCTGTTTAGCAAAGTGAGGAAAATCTGAAACTAGATGATTGCCTATGGTCTGTTTTCTTCCTTGATGCAAAATCTTTGTTTAACTTTTACAGGACTATGTGTATTGAAACAAACAAAAAAAACCCCTCTGCTTTCTCCCCACTGCAACAGTTGGCTCTATCACAGTACAGAGAGAGATTGCAATGTACCCATCTCCACAAGGACCATCAGTCAATCTGTCACTGCCCGATCCTCCTGCTGCCAGGAGCTGTCAGTCCAGGCAGGACTCCTGACTTCCTTCATTCCTTCATTTGTCTGCCTTTGAGAAGGATAGAACACCTGCTGACCTTGCAGGAAGGGGGTAAATTGCTTAGCTGGCAACGATGAGATACATCAGCATCTTGGAATCTTTGAGAACTTGGCTCCAAACATCCTCGTCTCGTGTTTTAGTGAGATGTTCTCACAAAAAAAAAACCCAACTGATGTTCCCTGTGACCTGTGCCAAATCTCATGCAATTTGGCAGTATCTAAAGGGAGTAACCTAAAAGGGAGAAGGAAAGAGCTGGCCAACCTTTCTTTGGATGGTAGGGATGGACTAGTACAAGATCTCCTTAGAAATTTTTCCTGTACAAGAGGGAGACCTACATTTGCCTGGGGGCATTGCTAAGCAGTGTTTCGGGGTGTCACAGGTCAGGTCCACCTCACATCACCTTCCCAGACCCACTGCCATGGGCACTGGTCCCTTACCTGACACTGGGAATAAGGACTATGGACATTTGGAGCAGAGTAAGGGTCGCAGTTGTTAATTAACTTTTGAAGGAGAATCTGGCACCACTCCAGAACAAAGGTTAATGCTTAAGTTCTGGAAAAGGAGCAGAGTTGACAAGTTGTATTAAAATCTGCCAGTAGGGTGGAAAAACTAAGGGAACCTTTCCAAATTAAAAAAGGAAGGTTAATAGCAGGGTGCAGCTGGGATCAAGGCTGCGGGTTATATTTTTTATTAGTTTGATAAGCGACCTAGGCGGTGGGTTTGAAAGCCAGAGATTTTTGGTGTTATATGTGTTCTTTAACTGGAAAGTACATCATTTCTAGAACAAGCACTGGCTGGATTGCTACCGTAAAAGTGAAGGGTATGTGACACATTAATGCCAGCTACCCTTTGCTGCAGATGAGGGCAGGAGACAAGAGCAGAGTGTTGCAGAGGAGAAAATGTCCGGCAAGTGGAACAGTGATGGCACGTGTCTGCAGCGCAGTGACAGCTCATCCCACAAGTGTGTCTTTGCGTGGTGTCCCAGCCTCATGCAAAGCAGCAAGGGAGAGAGAACGTGGTGTCAGTGACTCTGAGTATCGTGGAGACTGAAGACAAAGCCACATTTCAAATGAAGTTGTGCAACAAAAGCCACATTTCAAATGAAGTTGTGCAACATCTATTTAAAACACCACTCAAGGCTACTCTCCACAAGTCAAAGCAGTTACATTAGCTGAGTGATACCTAAATATTTACTTCAGTCTTACTACTACTTCTAAATGGAATATGGAATATCATAAGTTATGATGGGAGCAAAATACCAGTTCGCTTTGGCAGCCAGGAGCTCACCCAATGCTCTGAACTAGCCTTTCAAAGGCTTTAAATTAATTTATCTTGCTTTTATGCCTGGTGTAATTGGTACTGGATTTGATGTAAAGCTTATCGTTCCCTTAGGATATGTTGTAGTTTGTGTCTATAATCTGTTTTTATAAACAGATTTAGCAGGATTAGGCTGCCACCCTAGTAAAAAACATTTCATCAAAATAATTTGTCAATGGCAGTGTTTTCTTAGAAGGCTCTTTCCTCCTGGCAGGGGGAGAGAGGACGTAATTAACTGTTAACGTGCTAAGGATGTTTCAGTGAAGGCCAAATTGCTTCTAAATTAAAAATGGAGCAAACTGCTTCCAAAATGTACCAGCATTCCTCCTCCTCCTCCTTCCTTCCTTTTCAGCTGTGGCTGCTCCCCTTCTGCCTGTTATGGCTTTGACTCCTCATTGGCTTAGTCTCCTCTTCTTCTGTCCTTCAACCTTTTTATTTTCCTCTGGTTCCTTTCTACTTTCAAGCAAGGATAATAATCAAATCAAAATGCCTCTCTGCAACATCTTCTACCACTCCTTAATTTCAAACTTTTTCTACAGATGCTTGGATATCTGTCTTGTTTGCGGTCTCAAAGCAGGATGGGAAGAAAATTGGACTACGGTCTGGCTACAGTTGTACTCAATGGTCTTTATATTAATGCCACAAATGAGGGTTTTTCAGCCACTTCCCCTGAGTTAAAAGTAATGCTTCTGCCCCGGAAACTGCATATAAGGAGGCCAAACTAGATTCCTCCTTCCTTTTCCCAGCTAATCTCTGCCTGTCTTCTTTGGATGAGAAAAGGGCGAGTGAGTGGAAGTAAAATGCCCTACACAGAAAGTTTCAAAGTGCAAGTTGCCCATGGAGAAGTCATCCTTAATAGAGACACAAAATCCAAGAGACAAATAATATACCTGAGAAGAACAGATGGAGCAAATAAGGGGATAATGTAACTCATAGTATTAATCAGAAATCATATTTCTTTATCAAAACAGGAAGTATGATTTGGCACATCCCTGGGTGATGGATAATGGATTACAATGACTGTGCCAAGGCATCTTATTTATATTGGTGGATTGCCTCTTGTATTATTAGCATTTGACCTGGCTAACTTGGTGTCAACTCTATAAAGTGATTGTTTGCTTTATTTTTAGGGTTGAAGAAAGTTTTAAAACCTTATTCTGGTCAATATTTGGCTTATCTGAAGTGATATCCGTGGTGCTGAAGTATGATCATAAATTCATCGAGAATATTGGATATGTACTCTATGGAGTATATAACGTGACTATGGTGGTGGTGCTGCTCAATATGTTAATAGCCATGATCAACAACTCCTATCAGGAAATTGAGGTAAGATAAGAAATTAGATTACAAACTCAATGTACTTAATTATCACTGATAATGAAAATGTTAAAAAAAAAAAAACAAAAAACAAGGAAGCTGTAGATTATTGCATATGCAAGATTAGAGTGCTGTTGCAACACAGATACTGCACTGTGTAAGAGTTAAGGCTGTGTCTGTCCGCAAATTACAATCAAATTAATAATTAACAATGAATCATTTACAGAACAACTTCAACTTCCTTGTTTTTAATGACCATTTGTGAGTAAATCCAATTTCCTTTACATGTATTTAATGAAAGTGGTTAGTGATATTTTTTACTCCCTGTGTTGGTTATGATAATTTATCCACATGTGTTACCTTAGATACATTATTTGCTTAAACATGCAGCCCTTGTAGGTCTGAAGCTCATGCATATATTTTAAAAATGTTAATATTTTCCAAATACCAGTCACACAACCTTGAGACAGATTTTTTTGAGGAGTGTCTAGGTCTTCAAAACATAACGTCATGAACACTCATAAAAAGCAACTTTTAAAGGATATGAACACAGCCCTCAAGGAATATGAATAGGCTTCTGCAGAAAGGCATTTGCAGGGTTTACCCAACCTTTTTCAGTAGTATGGCTATTAGCAGACTGGATTTGCTAAATGCTTTGGACATAAAAAACTCCCTGCTAATGTAAATAAAGGCAGAAAAAAATATTATTTGGATAATGTTAACGCTGAGTCACCTCTTTCTTCTGATTTGTTAAATGTCAAGCTTCTGTAGTCGGGCTTGTATTAATTATTTGTTCTAATCTCCCCTCAGAACCTGACACTGCAAAAGGCCAGAGCTGAAAATATTTTCTCACTGTAATGTCTGATTCATCCATGTACTGTAGTGCAAATATAACTCTATCTTGTGCATGCTGTAACTAAGTCTAAATGTCAGAGGGACCTTACATATGTTCTCTGCCCTAGAAGCTTTCCTTCATGCAGAAAGCAGAGTCATTTCCCCAAAGGCTTCTAATCATTTAAGATCAAATGTCTTCCTGAATCCTCTTCTACTGAAACAAGACTTACTTCTGAAGGGGTCTCAGCCTCTTCCTGAATTTTCTCGTTTACTGTAGTAGGTAGAGATATTCTTGAAAGAAAAATATCTAAGAATACCTGAATAGGTGGCCTGTATTAAGTTTCTAGTCTAAATTTTGTGATGACCATTTTCCTGAAAAAATGCTTTATCATCCTTTTTGATTGTGTGGACATACTCAAAACTTTGTTAAAGACTACTTGTAACTATCAGCAAGCAAAATAAGTGTGAGCTATTTGGCCCAGATCCTCATACTTGAGGACTCAGAAAAACTAATAAATCTCATACTAATTCATTTCAGTCGTCAGTAGCAGGGAGATTAAAGACAGAGTCATAGAATCATGGAATCATAGAATTGTTTAGGTTGGAAAAGACCATTAAGATCATTGAGTCTAACTGTTAAACCAGCACTGCCAAATCCACCACTAAACCATGACCCCAAGTGCCACATCTACATGTCTTTTAAATACCTCCAGGGATGGTGACTCATTCCTGCTGACTGCAGAGAAAGTCCCTTTTGCCAATGCATTTACCTGATGACAGCAATGTCAATAAGGACAGGGGATAGTAATTACTTAGGAATTAAATTCCATCACAGTCAGTGGGGACATGCTTTACTGTTAGCTGGAGTCACAAGACCATATTCTCATGTTTTCCACTGAACATGTCTCTTCAGCTACCTCTGGTTTTCTTCTCTTTATGCCTCAAATATTAGTACTTCCTGCCAACGTTGTGTTTATGGAAAGGAAAAACACTTTTGCCAGACAGAAACCAAAACTACTTTCATCAGGAGATTCTTAACTGCTTAACAGAAAAGCATTAAACTGTTCACAAGTGATTTCTACTGTAATTCAGCTTAAGGCTTCTGTGAGGTGCAAGCCCAAACAATAAGACCAAATAGCAGAAGCAAATGCTGCTTCGTTGGTGAAGTAATTTGTTGTTACTGTGACAGAATTAATCTCAGTTGTGTTATGCCAGGTTTTGACTGGGTTTCAGAGGTACAGGGTAATCAGAGGTTACTAGTTTCAGCAGAACACAGATGTACATGAGTACAGGGTGTTGGCAGCCCCACACTTCTATTAATGACGCTGGCCTCAATATAAACCACAATGAAAACAGCTGTAGAGCAGCTGCATCTCATCCTTTCTTTTGCCTGATAAATGGTCCTGATACATGACCCTGACTGTTCTCCTATACAAATGCCAAACAAATCCATAAAGCATGTGCTAACCTTGCCCTTGTACTTGGAAGTGATCCTGGCCCACCTTGATAGCTCATAAAAGAGATTCACAGGCACTGAGTGATGGATTTTTTTTCTCCACCTTCATTAGTGGCAAGAGGTGAATAGTAAAAGAATTAAGATGTATTGATCTGTGTATGTTTGTAGTTGTTGTAGTTAAATTCCTTCATGTTTAATAATTATGCACTGGGTGTTGATTTGTTGTTTTCTTTCTCTTCCCTTCCCAAGGAGGATGCAGATGTGGAGTGGAAGTTTGCACGTGCCAAGCTCTGGCTGTCCTACTTTGACGAAGGAAGGACTTTACCTGCTCCTTTTAACCTAGTGCCAAGCCCTAAATCATTTTATTATCTCATACTGAGAATAAAAATGTGCCTCATAAAACTCTGCAAATCCAAGGCCAAAAACTGTGAAAATGATCTTGAAATGGGGATGCTGAACTCCAAACAACGGGTATGTTGTATTTTCGTTTTTCATGTTCTTTGTAGAAAGGGTTCATGCCGGGGACCTTCTGGAGGGGGTTGCATGGTGCACAGGCAGATCAGGGACAGCACAGCCTCTTACTCAGCCTCGTCATTGTGTGTTATTTGTATTATGCTGCACCCAGAGGGTCCTGCCAGACTTGTGGCCTTATTGTACTAGTCACTGTCTGGATACCAGGGTAAAAGCAACTTTTGTAAAAGCAGCCACGTTTATAAGGGAGTTTCCCAAGGCCAAATAACAAGGTCAAAAATGAAGGGCAGAAGCAGGGACACAATTAGGCTCCCAGCTTGTCTGACTCCTCATCTACCCAGCAGGCCTTTATGCATCTTCAAAACATCCACCTTCCTTAAGGTGATTTCCAAATTAATTTTACTGTCATTGCAACATTTACTGCCTTTCCAGGTTTGGGAACAAGTTTCCAAGCAGGGATTAATAACACCTTCTAAATAACTAAAGCTATAATTAACAAAGTCTCTACTTACATCTGCCTAGTGATGTGTAGCCACTAATGGGTAGATCCTGCCTCAGCCACAGCCCCTTTGGTCATTTGAAACAGAAATTTGCTTCGGAAATTCTGGCTACCAGCAGCGTGGTTTCCTCTAGAGCTAGTGAGTGTCTGCATGGCAAAGCAAGAGATATGTAAGGAGGAGGCTTAGATTCCAGACCCTTCCCAGCTGAATTAGCTTTGTGCCTCTGTGAGGAAATGTCAGAGAAATTACAGAAAATAATGTTGTTCATGGAAATTATTATCTGCAACACTGTGCAAAGCGTCACTGGGATGTAACATTCTCTATATATATCTATCTATATGTATTTATAACAAAGACAGTCTCACTCATAGGGCAAGTTTACTTGCTTTACATTGGAGGAGAAAATGTCCAAAGCATTCACAGGAACTCAGCCACAGCTGCTTGGCTGCTGCCATTAAATTCACGGGATTCAAAGATGCGAGAAGATAGCTTTGCTTAAAAGTGTCCTGGCCTTTATTAAATTTTCTTAGCTCAACCTGGTTTTGAAACTAGAGAACAACAGTGGGAACCCATTCCTGGGAGCAAAGAAAAGTGCTCCAAAATGTGTTGTCTCTGATTTCTTACAGTCAGTGCATGTGAGAGGCAGGTGTGGCTCCTTGGAAGGCTGGTCAGCCTTTCTAGGACATGTTGCTCTTCCCTCAACCTGCTCTCAGGAATGCTACCCATTTATTCAGACACTAAAGCCCTGGCTGCGTGGCACGTAACAGGAGAGGGAAGAAGTTGGGTAAATTCTCCAAGGTGTGGGTAGCCTACCCTCAGTTTTAACTTTGCAGTAGGGAAGAGATGTAATGAGAGACCGAGGAGAAGGAAAGGAAGGTTGGAGGAGGCTGTGCATAGTTTGCCTTTGTAATGTACATCCTGCTTTTGGGCTTTGTCTGGATCTCTTGGCTGTCCTTGAAGGAGCAAACGGCTGAGCAATACAACTCGTGGTGAGCCACCAGGCTCCAGGCAAAGCCCATGGCCTTGGAGGAGACCATGCTCCCATAAATTTAAAATGTCAGGTCTGATGTTCATTCAGTCTCTACCAGTGCCTAAATTGAACGGAAAAGTATATCCGTGAGGTCTAATCCATGTTATCAGATAGTTGATCCAACTATTTGATGTCAAATAGTGTTGTCAAATAGTGACCCAACACGGTCAACACTGCCAAGATAGACAAACTTTGGGGGGAATTCTATTTTATGAATTCATTTAACACTCTTATTTATTACTGAAAGACCCACTAGAACAGTGGACTCTTGAAAAGAAGGATTTAAAAGAAATGATTTAAAATAATAGTATTTTTTAAAAGTTATTTAAATCTACCCACACAAAGCGCACATTGTTTGAAATTTAATTTCTGATTCAAAGCATAAATCAAAGTAATAAAATTTTCTCTTAGACCTTTCTTCCCCAAGTCACATGAGTGAAAGTGTCTGGCTTTCCCTTTTTCATGGAATGCATGCAAAATTCTTAGTTTCCATGACATTAACATAAGCAATTAAGAGTACGACTCATTTCTTGCCTGCCTGTTAATTTTGTTCACAGATCATCATTAAAACAGTTTCTGTAAGACCATGGCACACCTGATGAGAAAAAAGAAAAAAAAATTACATGATTACTTCAGACTTTTAGTCCGATCATTATCATCATCCTGATTTTTAAATACTAACAATAATGAAAAAAAAAAATACCACCCATTTCTCAGGATCTCTCATCCAGTCAGGAAAGAAAAGCCCTGAATCAGGGCCATCCCTGTACATACACTTCCATATATGTGCAGAAGTCTATGATATTTATTGGCTTCTCTGGGTCTATGATATGAATTATTACCTTTGAATAAGTGATTTTTTTTTTTCCATAGCATTTGGACCAAAAAGTTCAGAGGTGGATAACAAAGTCAAAGAAAGCTATTACAAATATTGTGTGTAGTCTCTAGAAAAGTCACCTTGGAAGCCTCTAGAATATAAAACTAGTAGCTGCAACATCCTCTGATTAAAAAAATACTGCTCTATTTAAAAAATTATATATTTTTGTTGAGCTAAAAAAGTAGCAAATGGTACTGTTTTTTTAAAAGGACTAGTGAAAATCAATTCTGTTTCAGAATTTGTGCTCGTACAGCATTGATTTGTTCTCTCTAAATGTAAATATTTATTTTTCTTCCGTTCTTAAATTGTGTTCTAAGTTGATCATCACTAATCACCAATAATTTAGAATCCAATTTTTCCCAGTAATTTGTGTTTTTCAACCCTTTTCTGTCTTTCAAAAGTTTGGTTTTAGCCTGGATGTGCTGGGTTTTATTCTACTCATACACTGAACCATTTCCTACTGTTTTATAAAGCGCTATTTAGTTTGGGGCTGTCTGGGTGTAAGAAGCTATCATTGATTTAATTGTATCATGATTTTTATGATTTCAGAAAGTTCGTTTTCACTCTAGCACTCGAAATACAGAAAACTTTTCTGGGAAGAATGCTTATAACAAGCCCACAAGATATCAGGTAATCATGGCATGAAAGCAAGAGCCAGGGGAGAGATCTGTCAGTGAACAGCTCTTACCCACAAGGGTCATGTTGGCCTCTTCCAGACGATGCCATCCGGTGATGGGCCAGATTGTTGCTTAGCACGGGCATGGGGCTGGGCTGGGGCACTTCAATTTTGCAATATACTGGGACAAATGCAGCCTAGCACCCATGGAAATCCACATGGTGTTAGCGTTTGGCATGATAATTAATCCCACTCAAGGGTATGTCATTTAATACAAGACATATCATTCAAGCTTTAACCCTCCAGTCTTGCATTGACAGCATTTCATTTGTCACGACACGGCGACATCTCTCCAGCCTTTGCATTAACATCTGCATGTGCTTCCTCTGGCAGTGACTTGTCCTTCCAAGCTCAACCTGCAATGTGGTATGGTTCAAAAATCACTGTGGCTGCCACAGTGTCCCAGCCATCATGGGAACTAACATAACTGTCTGTGCCAGCAGATGTATTATTTCTTGTGCAAATATGTGTAGTAGAGCAACACAATTAGAAAATTGTGCCCCACAGGATTTTTTCCTTATTTTTCAACATAAAGTGCAAAGGAATCCGATGGCAAGTGATGTGTCTGAAGGAACCAATGTTAAAGACGGTTGAGGAAAGTAATAGTTGAGTTGAATGAAATGTGCAATGGGAATTCTAGAAGTGATTTTTCTTATGTTGGTACATCCAGCACAGTGGGCTCCTACAGCTGTATAGCAGACCAGTAATACATTTCTACTGGTTTTAAAAGTTGTTCAGGCTTTTTTGCCAGGATAGGAGGAGTAATGCCAGGACACATTCACTGGCATCTGGAGTTAGTTGTCTTGATACCATCAAAAGCAAAGGGAAGAGACAGTCATGTCCTACTCAAAATGGCATTTCAGCATTTCTGACATTTTCTCCTTCATTCAAACCCACAGGTAACAGAAAGATGTGTCAGCTTCTGCTGGACTTGTTCTCTTCCTGTAGCTATTCTTTCTAAATGAGACCACCTAATGTTTGTGGTAAATTAGACCCTTATTTCCAAGGCTGAAAAAGCCAAAGGCAGCTGTGAAGAACAGATAGAAAAAGATAACTACATGTTATTTTGCCTTAATAGTGTTCCTACTAAGTTTGTCTTCAGACGATCTTAGATAGAAAGCTTCAGTTGTTGCAGGAAGAAATTGCCCAAATAATACAAGAAGAGTGTAATAATCTTGATTATCTAAATACAAAGAAGAATAAACAGTTTGATAATCTGACCAGCAAGCTTTCTTCTACACATGAGAAAACCTTTAAAGCAGTAGCTTCTTGCTGAACTGTTTGCTTTAGTGTTATTTATAAAGTGACATCTGCAGTCAGTGTACATACATGTATACACTAAGTGTATGTACATACAGATAGTGCTCTTGGGACATAATAAAAACACGCAGAACCTAAACATGCAATAATTTGAAAAGCAGAAAGAACAAGTCAACACACAGCTGCCATGATCTGGGAATAAACTAGGCAAAATAGCTTTATCAAACCCTCTTGAGCTGAGACTTTAGGATGAAGTGCTGCTAAAAGGCTGTGCTAAACTCACACAACTTTCCCACTTTCAGCACTGGAGCCTGTCATGCTATCAACAGTGTCTTCACATACAAAACTCAGGAAGGGATTTGTCAGGAAAAACTAGGAGGAATAGTTTGTACTTTTAAAGGCTCAGAACTATTTTTCTTTGCTGTTTGGAGATACAAAGTAGGAAAGAGGTGAGAAATGAGGAAATTCCTTTGCTCACTTCATCCTTGGGCTCTTCTACTGCCTAATTGAGCATTTGAGATCACCAGGTTTGAGATCTGATTGCCCTAGTGAGCAGTTGACCCCTCTGATCAAGCTCTTCTACTGCCTAATTGATAACATGTGCATTTGAGATCACCAGGTTTGAGATCTGATTGCCCTAGTGAGCAGTTGACCCCTCTGATCACTGCTGACTTGCACCTGATTTTCACCAGGGACATGAAGGTGCAAAGTATTTCCTCCCATTAGTGCTTCCCTGGGACCTCCCATACTCATGCCAAATGACACCTGCAGTGCCCACAAACACAGCACCAAAAAGAAACCTGTGAATTTAATAGTAGTATTAAGGTCTGTAACAGTGTTATCTTCAACAGTTCATATAAGTGAAGTCCAGAATAAAACACTATAAATTGTGAAGTGGGAAGACATTGGGACCTCCCCATTAAAGACAAGGAACTGAGGTCCAGCAGGACTTAGGAGACCCAAAGAGCCTATGGTTGAACCAGAAACTGAACCCCAAATCTCCTGAGTCCAATTCAGTGCCTTGGCCACAAATCTGTCCTTTTCTTCTCATTTTCCTCTGTGGTAGAAGGTATAGCAGGTGTTCAGATAGCTGATGGCAAATGTAGAGCTTGAAGGTTGTGCCAATAGATACATAAAAAAGATTGAATTCGGTGCGGAGTTATAATTTACAAATGCCTGACCTGTTCCTAAAACCTATTCCCTTATGAGCATTTTAATACAGGAGTTGAGTGTTACACAGTACAAGCAATCTCTAAGATCTGGAGGATTTCAATTTACTTTTAGAGAATGGGGGAAAAGCACTTCATAGAAATCAGAAGTATTTGAGCTGTTTCAAGTTTAGCATTCATTACCAAGAGGCTGGCTGTAAGTTTTGTTCAGCATTTCCCTGCAGTAACCATGATTATTTTGCCAAGAGGCTTTTTCACTCATTGTAGCTAAAAGGAGCAGCACTGGGGAGAAGGGGAGAAGCAAGGCTTAGAAGCCAAAGTGCGATATGAGGCAAAAATTAAGTAATTTCCTAAAGCTATTGGCAGAAATATCTTTTAAGTGGCTAAGTAGACTCTTGTTAAAAAGTCACATTTTTAGTATTTGGTATCTATACACCAATCTGACTACAACATGTCTTTGATAGACTCAGCAGCCTAAAGCTTGTGAATTCTATCACACATAGTGGTTAATATAGATAAGAGTTGAGTAGTGTCCATCAAAAATACAAGCTCTATGGGAACTGGAGTAGATAGATATTATGTTATCAAAAATTTCCAGGTGGTAATAGCATTCATTGTGTGCTTCTTCCTTGTTTTAGTCTAAATTTCCTCAGTCGTCTATTCTGAAAAAAATAAATTTTTTTTGGATCCAGAATTTCCCTACTTTCCCCAAACATTACTTCATTTATGTTTTCTCAGGTGACAACCCTACCTCCCTCTGGATTCTACTACCTTGGCCATCTTCAACACACCGTACGTGCGCTGTGCCTCATCTCTATTGCCTTAATGACTCACCTGTTTAGCCAGATGCCTCTTTGACACAAGGACAGTCTTAGACATCCCATATTCCATGACTGCATGGAATACATACAAATGACCGGATCCTTCTTTGATCTTCATATGCCTTTTGCACTGCTATAGTCCATATTTGGCTACTAAGAAAAAGAGAAATTGTACTGACCTCTTCATAATTCACGCTCTGTGCAGCATTTTTCAGTGATGTTTAAAGCAGAGACATGTGATTGCTCTGTGAATAAGTGAGTCCATGCTGGGAGAGGCTTTTCCCTTAACAGCGACCATCTGGTCAATGGAAGACATTCATGTATCTGCTCTTGGACGCTCACTGAGCTCTCCTCGTGTTTGCAGAAGATGCACCTAAATCATTGCCTCTGATAGAGCAATCCTTTTTATATTTTTATCATAGTAGAGATTTTTTTTCCCCATTGATGAGTGCCTCCTCTGTAGTGAGGAACTGGCAATGATGCAGGCCTTCAGCTGTAACCCAGTGTTACACTGAGAGTGTTACTTTCCTTCTAGATAAATGTAACATGCATTTTTGGAACAATATCACATTGCAAGCTTTTATCCATAACCATCGTCTACTGTCTCCATGTATGCTGTTCCTGACTAACAATCATCTCCTTTTTTATAATCCTACATGGCTCTATTTTTTCCCCTGTGCATGTCCCTTAGAAACTTCTCTCACTTAAGCCAAGTTCTCCACTTCTGTTCAAACTCTTCTCTCTGTCTTTCACTAAATTTATTTTCCCTCCTGAAAACCTAATTGCAAAGCAAATGGAGTCTTTTTGCTAACCTTGGGTCAGGTAGTTAGTTCATCATCATGAGTCAGTTTGCTAACATCAATAATTAACCACTTATTTCTTCCTGTAAAGTGTTTTTCGTTCATACATTAAACAGCAACATGCTAAAGAAAGCTCTGGATCCCATTCCTTAGCTTGCTGTTGGATCATCTGTGTTTTCTTTCTGTCTATGGGACATACTCCATGTTCATGTACGTCTCACAAAATACCCCAAAGTGACTCGTATGTGGGCTCATTATGGAATCGCTGTCAATCAACTATTGTTGTACAAGGTTCATAATATAAAGTATAAAATAAATGGGAAATCAATAAAAAAATCTCTTTGCATCCTCTGAAGCCAGGTTTTACCTGTAGTGAAATCAAGTGTTTGAATTGCTCAAAATGAGTCTAGAATTAAGGCAACGCAGATAACCTCCTGTTAAGATAAGTGTTTCTGTTCTCTTTTCAGAAAATAATGAAGCGTCTGATTAAGCGGTATGTGCTGAAGGCTCAGGTTGACCGAGAAAATGATGAGGTCAATGAAGGCAAGTGGATTTTTATAATAGACACAGATTAGAGCAAATAATGTTATTGCTATTGATATGGCCAGTAAGAGGGTTGAGCTTAAATAACATCTTCTGTAGAGAGAAGATGAGCACTGCTAAGGTGAGCAGTGGTGACTCTGAGCCACCCTTATGCTCTTGAAACTCTGGGTCCTTAATTTTCTTTAGCAGAACACATATATCATAGGATCTGTCTTTACATAATGCTGCTCTACCCTATAGTTTTACCTCTCCTTGCTGTACAATATCCGTGATATTGTCAACACCTAAGCTTGTCTTGGGGTTTAAGTAAAGTCATTTCTGACTGTCCAAGCCCATGCCCGGACTTTCTTTGACCTGGATAAGGATTTGTATGGCTGTAGTGTGATGTAGGATTTATATGCAGATGCAAAAGAACTTTCTTCTAACACCTCTTAACTGCTACCCTCCTGCAAATATCCTACAAGTACAGGTTATTGTTTGTAAGTCAAATATTAAGTGCATAAATGCAGGGACATCCACACACATTCATGACCAAGGACACCAAAATCAATGCTTTCTCAGGTCTTAAAACCATCGAGATTAATTATTTAGTTCAATATTACTAACGAGAACATTTTCCTCCTTTTAGGAGAACTTAAAGAGATTAAGCAAGATATTTCTAGTCTCCGCTATGAACTCTTAGAGGAAAAGTCACAAGCTACTGGCGAGCTGGCAAGACTAATACAGCAGCTGAGCGACAAATTTGGGAAGAACTTAAATAAGGACATTTGATGGTGGACACAGAGAAAGGCACCTGGTTTTCTAAACATTATTCAGTCTCAACCAGCATCTTAGAAGGGCAAAAACCATGCAAAAGATGGGTACAGCGCACTCAACTTTTGCTGACTAGCAAGTATTGGTAGGAGCACTTTGCATTACTCCTGTGCTTGGTGAGTTACCAGTTAAATCTTTTATGATACAAAAGTGACTTACTGGTAAAAATATGTTATTTGACATCAGAAACAGATGCACCGTAGGGAAGGCACCTCTAGTTAAAGGCAAAAAAGCCAGATCTTCACCCATCTGACTCTAGTGAAGACAATGCAACTGTGCTCATTTATACCGAGACTCTACTGATCAGAATTGGGTGAAGTCTGAAGAAAAAATATGCCAAGCATATTCTTTGAAAAAATTTTAAAATTTCTATCCTTGGGTGTGTACTGTCCTTTTATGTTTACACGGGCATCCGTGAAGATAACTTTGAACAGCACTGTGGATAATGAGTTAATACGCAAATGAGACATCATCTGCTGAAATGTCCAAGGAAAAGTGCAGCAGGTAGAGGTCGTCTGCCTTTTTGACTGGATGACAGCATTGGAAAAAATAGAGGAAGATTGTTGGGTAAAACATCCTTTCACTCCTCTGCCAGAACCTGGCCAAGGGATTCCCAGCCAAAAACTCCTCGTCACCTTTTCCAGCTATATTAGCTAGTCCACTGATGGATATCGTCTCTTTGTACACACCTAGTCTCTCTTTTATCCTTAGATGATCCCAGCTTCAACAACAGCGTACTGAAATATTCATAATGACGTGAAACTCACTTCCCAGTGCCACCCAGAAATAACCTACATCGTGTTAATGTGTTCAGTTCAAGGAACAGCATTAATCCAGCGACAGCGGTGCAGCTGAGCTCAGCTTTCAGATTCCAGAGGTCAAACAGCAAGCCATAGGGTGAGATAAACCATGGAGAAGATAGCCCCGTAGTTACAAACCTTTCAATCAACACGACAATTCCACTGAGAACATTCTGATCAAAAAAAAGAAAAGGATATAAAGGAAAAATCATTGTAGAACAAAAAAAAGGATATAAAGGAAAAATCATTGTAGAAATTATAGTCTTATGTGTTTGGCTCTTATGGAGGACAAGGAAGGGATTAAAACTGTTTTAAAGGCTGCAGTGATGCAAGTACTGGGATTGCACTTTTGTGACTGGAAAGTGACGAGTCAGTGCAACATGACTGCAAGCTTGGATTGATTGAGTTTTTACATTTAGCTCTATGATTTCAACTACTTAAAGCACACCTTACTACTTGGGAACCACCGAACTGTACTGTTTGTTTACAGGAGACACCTAGAAGATGAACATTACATTTAGGTATCAGCTGAGAAAAACAAGCAGAACCAGAAGGTGACCTGTGACCAGTTCTTAAGTGCCAGATGAGAACACAGATAGCCTAATAGAATAATAGTTATATTTGTAAAAAAACTATAAAGAAAAAAGAAAAAAAAAGGTGTACTGTACGTAGATCTGTTTAGAGAAGAAGCAAAATACTGTATTTTTACCTTTAATAAGATTAACTTGTATACTGTAATATTTTTACCTAAAAATGGGAAAAAAAAATAAAATTACCTCATAATATTTTGTTGTACACTGAGTGAAATATTTGCCTGATCTTTTGACTATCCAATATATAGACATGTTTTTTTTTTTCTGCAATGTGTGAACCATGAAATCATTATATGAAGCAATTTTGCCACAGGAATCCTGAAGCCCAAAAGAGTCAAAAAGCAAAACTTAACCTACAATACATTTACATTTTACATTTACAAGGAATAAAACTAAGAAATTAAAGGTTCTGTGACCAAAACGTCTGCAAAAGAAGACTTCTTATTTGTGGTGCTTAATTTGCAATTACTGTATCCTTATTAACGTGTTTGTAAAATTCAGCTCAGCTGGTTTCAGAGGAGCTTAGCCTGGTACTGAGTGTGCAATCACAAGTTAAATGAGTAACGCTGACATTTACAGACTTTAACTGGTAAAACAACTGAAAAGGCATTTGCCCCTGCATTGCCCCATCTGGGTAAGTGGTTCTTTACATCTCAGGGTAACATTTCCCAGAGCTGTTGTTTGCAAATGTGGGAAATCTGTTGCCTCTGCAGAATAGTTCTTGCAAAGTAGTGTCATGATGAAACACTTAAATGTCAACATCCAGCAGAGGGTATCAAATGCCAGTGTAAGACAGATGCTACAAGTAGTAATATTTGCAAGAATAACTTGTCGTGTTAGGTTGTCTTCCCTACCTAAATCAGAAAATGTTGATTTCAAATATTCGGTTTTCCCCATAAGAAGGAGGATTACGTTTCATGGTAGTACTGCTTCCCCCTCCCCTTTATAGCCACTGGCTTGTTGTTTTAGGTTCTCTTCCCTACCTAAATCAGAAAAATGTTGATTTCAAATATTCAGTTTTCCCCATAAGAAGGAGGATTATGTTTCATGGTAATACTGCTTCCCCCTCCCCTTTATAGCCACTGTATAAAAATTCTTTCTGTTTTTGAAAATCAGCCCTGCTGCCACAGCACTGTCCTAAAAAATGATTTCATTCTAGCTCTACACCTGACTCTTGATAAAAGCATCACTTTCCCTTCCCATTCAGTGCTTTAGCATCCCCTAGGAACTGAAGCAGAAATATTCTAGCTAGAACATATAATATCTACCATAATTTCCATTTCCTATGGTATTGCATGTCAAGTTGCGTGAGAAAGTTAATTGGAAACTCTATGATACACTGTCATTTTGTTTATTTAGATGCAACTCAACGAAAGACCTGACCTGAAGTCCAGCAGCACCAACAGGCGTGTTCTCCTACGGCTGAATATTGCAGTCATATTGTTCTGGTCAGCACAAATAACACCATACTGTGAAGAGATTTGCTGAATTACGTGGTCCCAGGCAAGGGGTAGAGCTGTGCTCCAGCAGCTGCCGCCTGCTGCTTTTATGGCACTGTGTAAGTGGAAGAGTGCAGTCCTGCTACTAGAGCAGCGAGTTACCATGCTGCTCAGCATTCAGCAATTTGCTATAAAAGAGCATAATATTTTCTAGGCCTTCAAAAAGAGACTAAAAGATATATTAAAAAAAAAGCAGCCGTTGAAAAAAAAAAAATTGCATCCTCCCCTTTTGCGTTTACATTCCAGGAACTATCAAGGCACTGAGACGTCTTATATAAATATTCATGATAAGCAAAACCCCACCTCAGCAGAGTTCTTTTCTCATCTGGTCCCAGGAACATACACAAGGAAGCTGCACACTCTGTATTAATGTGCTACCAGCAGAAGCAAAGTTCTATTTATAGGAAAATAAAATCAAGAAGACTTACTAAAAGATACCCGGGGTAACTTAGAAAGTTTGAAGAGGAAAAATCAAAGTTTGTGGGTCCCAGATTGGATTGGACCACGGATATGCAGGTCCCCTGTCCTATGTCCCATCACTGATGGGACCCCATGGCAGACCAGTGTCACATCAACCTGCCTGCTGGGTTAGAGTTGTTCCAGTACATAACAGCTCTTCCTTTTGCCTTTGAAATAAAGGATTTAATATTCCTCGGGCAAATTCATATCGCAAAGGAATGTAACTTTGCCCATTCTCTGTGTAGATACAGAATTGTGACTTTTAATGGGAAATATGTTAGAGAAAGATGACACTAACCTAAAGTCAGCCACACAAGGGTGAATATTTTCCAGGAGATCATCTTGATTCTGCAAACCCTTGCAGGCCAATCAAACTAGAACTTAAATAGACACCCTGAGGAAAATCAGAACAAAGCCATTAACTGGCCAATATTGATTTGTTGACTGCCCAGGTCTTCAGACAATTGTTTCATGCCTTGCAAAGACCAAACCAGTCAGCTGCTGCTAACAGAAAGGGGGCAAACAGCAGAAACCATTAACATGCTTTTAAATAGCTGAACTGCAAGGTTTTAAGCCAGGACACCCTGCTGACCAGAGGTGCAAATCCTGAACCAAAGGAGCTGCCTGAGGGCATTTGGCATCAGGCCACTGCTTTCAGCAGCATGGGATGGGCTTTGCAGCCCACATGGAGGAGGTGATGTTCCATACACAGCTTTGTCCTCTCACCTGAGCTAATTCTGCCCTTAACTTTATAGAGAGCGACTGCTGTCCCCCATTCCCACAAAACAGGGTTTAAAAGTAAATAAGAAGCAAGGACAGTGTCATGAGTAATGGCTCCCAGGACTGCCTGCGTCCTGACCAGAGCTCACAGCACATTAAATTGTCAGAGCTAGGCTTTCTTTTTAATTAATCTACACGAGAAAAGCATTTCCAGCAGGCCAAAAGAAATTGCCCTAATTAAAAGATGTAAGAGATTAAGAATCGCTCAGCAAGGACAAGCCAGGACACAGTCCATCAGCACAAACTCAGGAGTCTCGGGCAGCGTGGACAGTGTTTTCAAATGTGTCTCCAGCTGACAGAAGGTCTCCTGCCTGCACCATGGCCAGGTCTGGGATGTAGGTAGGGACAGGAGGCAGCATCTGTCCTACATCCCTCAGAGCACCTCTGCTGCCTCTCCTGCTCCAAGCAGGAACTTGGCAATCAGGTCTTTCATTCCTAATTCGGTTGGCATTTGCCTCCCTCACTAACCAACGGGCAGGGAAATTAAATCCATAACTTCGTAACAAAAGTGACCAGGACTGTGCCACAAAATGGCTTTCAAACAGGGAGGATAGGTATTTCCTCTGCCCAGCCATTATAAATACTTTCCTTGTGAGCCCAGCCTGACCCCTGAAAGCAGCTCTACCCTAACTTTAGCCACAAATCCCTCACCTCTATAGAGTTAGATGCTACCATCAGCAAGTCCCATTGCTCCCTTCTTCACCCGCTTGGTTCATGGCCATTGTTTTATCTTCCACAGTGATTGTGCTGCTGGCCACCAGCCTGCACAAATTACAGCCTTAAAGAACTTACATTTTTAGTAAAAAGCGGATAGAGAGGTTGCAGGAGAAATAGCCCCAGGTTCCAGTGAGGGAAGGGAGACATAGAGAAGTTCAGGGACTTGCCTTAATAAGCTGAAGGCAGGGGCCAAAAATGGATCTGTGACTCTCTGAATCCTATTTGGGGCTCTGTATACCCGTTAGCTCTCTCCTGGTCCCTGTCTTGCATCGTTGTAGATGCACACTCTGGTGTGAGGGATAAGATCTGCCAATGCCTGGTGCAAGCAGCACAAGAGCAAAAATAGGAAAAATGAATCACTGCCTCAGTTATCATATATCATTTTGGGAAGTGATTCCCTCAATCTCTTGGAGGCTATAATGGCTCCATATCAATAATGAGCTAAGTCTTCGATATAGTTGAATTTAAATAAAGCCAAATAGAAAGGGAGATAATAACCAAAGGGGAAAAATGACTAAACTGGTTCTGGAATTTGTAATGCCTTTAGTAGCAAGCAAAAGGGCACTCATTTAAGGTCATTTGAGACTGGTATTTAACACAAACCTGCAATGTGATAAAGGGGATTTGGAAGGGCTTAAAAGGTTAATGAATAGCTAACGAGCTTCTTGATATCTAACTAATGTTTACTGTAATACAGACTAATATTTAATTCCCTTACTAATGATTAATTATTCTGCTGCAAGGGTTTAATTAGGGCTTACACAGCAGGAGTGCAGGGGGATCTGGTGCTGAGATGAATTTCCACGCTGCAGTCGCTGTCCCCAACTCCAAGTTGGTGACTGGCAGCCACCCCTGCAGCAGGCACAGCTTTAGGTGTCACAGTGAGCACGGGTGTTGAGGAAGCAGGAGACCAATGGCTGATCATAGAATCATTAAATCATAGAATGGTTTGGGTTGGAAGGGACCTTAAAAATCGCCTAGTTCCAACCCCTCTGCCCTGGGCAAGGACACCTCCCACGAGACCAGGTTGCTCCAAGCCCCCTCCAACCTGGCCTTGCACCCCTCCAGGGATGGGGCAGCCACAGCTTCTCTGGGCATCCTGGGCCAGGCTCTCACCCCCCTCAC